CCCTTTAGCCCATGTTTCCCAGTTAATCTCTTTGGTTAAATTAGAACCTCAGAGAGCTTTGTCAGTTAGAGCCCTGGCCCTAATCTCCCAGAGATTCAGATCCAGTGTGTCTGCAACAAGACCTGACAGTCAGTTCTTTGAAGAATCTCACTGGTGGTTGTGATGCTCATCTGAATTTGAGAACCACTGCTTTAGATGCCGTATTGACCATTTCTCTGTTAATTTCTACAGAAACCTCCTTCAAATCTCATAAATGGTCAAAATAGGCAATTCCTTTAACTTTAAGCCTAAATTTAGAAGACCTAATGGCACGGTGGTAGTCCATAGGAGGAAGATGAGGCAGTTTGCTTCTGTAAAGATTTACAGCCTTGGAAACCCAAAGGGGCAATTCAGCTGTGTCCTGTAGCACTGCTGTGAGTTCAAATTGACTTGAAAGCAGTGGGTTAAGTGTGAGATTAATGTTTATAATGAACTAAATATAAAGAGCAGTGAATGATATGCAATCTTTATTCCAGGGAGCAAATGTGAATGGCTTAGGCTTTAGACCATGCAGCTGTATATCCTGGGACTGGATGCTATTTCTGCCACCAGCTGGGCACCTGCATCCAGCCTGCTTCTGCTCTCCACACCACAGCCCTCGTTTTCCAAAGGAGAATGGTAACAGTCCTTGTAACAAGTCATACAAAACCGAGTCTAGAGCCTGGTATTTGAATGTTGTTGTTGGGTGCTGTTGAGTCCATTCCTATTCATAACCACCCTATAGGACAAGGTAGAAGTGCCTGAGAAGATTTCCTGGACTGTGATCTTAATGGGGATAGACCCCCAAGTTATTGCTGTCACAGAGCCAACCATTGGAGGGTCCAAGCCCACAAGCGTTTTATTAGCCATTGATTGTCGAACTATTGTGCCACGAGGTCTCATTTTAGTATTTGATTGTTGTTGTGTACTGCTGCGTCATACCCAGAGCTGACTCTCTGGTGGGTTTTCAGAAGCATTTAGTTGCACAGGAGGAGATTGCCCATCCTTCTCCCACAGAGCCACTGGTGGATTTGAGCTGCAGGCTTTCAGGATTGCAGTGCAGGTTCTTATTTGATTAGTGCATACTAAATGATAACCCATGTCACTAGTTTTTCCAACTCAAGGTTACATCTGTGAGCCTGCCTCCCTTTGGGGCCTAGATGTTTTCTTGTGGCAGCTGGTGGGAGTGAAGACTCTAGTTGGTCTGGACCATATATAAACCTAAGCATAGCCTGATATCTGTTCATTGGTGTTCTTGGACCAGTTGAATTAATCAGTTTAAAATGTTGTACAATTAAAGAACTTGACATTAAAATATCTTTTAAGGTATTTTAAAAAGGTGCTTTACAGCTAGTATAGACTTAAAATTATAAAATAGAATCAAAGATTACTTTGTGGGATGAGACTGTAAGCATTCTGAAGAAAGCAGGTCTTTGTTTTATTTTCTCTGTCTCATTGAAATTCTGTGTTTCCTCAGATACTAATATATGTTATTATAAAGTTGGGCTTTATAACAGCTTTTAAAAGGGTTGTGAGAAATGGCTTTCTAGTTAGTTTCCCCTCCCCCACTAACCCAGAGAGTTTAAAGAAACAAGCTGACTATTTAAGATGACTTATGATGTTTTATACAGAATATTTAGTTTACACAAAAGGAGATCTAATTCTACAACTAGACAATGCTTAAGACTCCCTCAAATAATAAGTAAGGAGTTCTTTTCCTGTGTATTATACCCATGAACATTAGGTCTTTTATGGCTCCTAGAAATGCTATGGAGCACAATAGAACTTTCTTAAAAGGGAGTTCTAGTGGCTTAGTGGGTAAGGAGTTGTGCTGTCATCCCAAAGGCAGGTAGTTCAGATCCACCAGGTGTTCTAAGGGAGAAAGATTTACAGCCTCTGAAAATCCACTGTGAGTCATTTCCAGTTTGACATCATGTAACGTAACACCACCGCCAACAACATAAGGTTTTACATTGGTTAGCAGTGGAACACTTAACCACTGTCCAACCAGGGCTGCTTAAAGAACTATACAAATAAAATGTTAATAGAATGCATCACATAACCAATATAATGTGCTGCTTATAAATACATACACTGGTTTTAGGTAAATTGATAAATATCTTCCCTCAGTTTCCCCTTTTGGAAAAGGCCTAATTATAGTACCCACAAAATCTGTTGTGAAGGTTAACTTCTTAAATTATGTCTAATTAAATGCATGCTGAAGTACATAGGACAGTGTCTGATGTGTAAACCCTTAAAGAAGTTGATAATGATGGTATTCATCACTAGATAATCTGAATAAAAAGAAAACTAGAGTAGAAATATTTTATTGTGCAACATTTTAATTTCTCCTTATTCTAAAGTTATCTCTATTACTCTCTGCTGTCCAGTCAGAACTGATTCATAGTTGAATCTACATTGGGTCTTAGGGAGGTTGTAAATTGAATGGAAAAGGATTGTCCATCTTTCTCCTGAGGGGCTGCCAGTAGATCCGAACCCCCAGAAGGGTGCTGCCTTTGGATTAGCAGCTGCTGCCTACACACTGTGCTACCAGAGCACCAGAACACTTTCACGTGAAACTAATTAGACCCAGCAATTATTTTCCAGATAGAACAAGAGAGTACTGCCCCATTCAAAATCAGGAAAAATGTGAAACCGTGTAGTGTCCTTTCTCCATACCTCTTTGGTCTGTATGCTGAGCAAATCATCCAAGCACTACATGAAGAAGAATGTGACGTTAGCATTGGAGGACAACTCATCAACCACTTGCATTATGCAGATGACACACCCTTGCTTGCTGAAAGCAAAAAGTACTTGAAACACTTGTTGCAGAAAATCGAAGACTACAGCCTGCAATGTGTATGATATCATACCATCAAAAAAACAAAAATCCTCACCACTGAACTAGTAGGCAGCATCATGATAGGCAGAGAAATGACTGAGATCCACAATTTCATTTTACTTGGATCCATGTTCAAAACCAATGGAAGAAATTAAAAGACGTGTTGCAATGGAAAAATTGGCTATGAAGGACCTCTTTACAAAGCTCGAGTGCAGTGATATCAGTTTAAAGACTAAGGTGTGCCTAATCCAAGCCATGGTATTTTCAGCTGCTTCCTTTGCTTCTGAAACTTGACAGTGAATAAGGATGACCACAGAAGAATCCATATCCTTGAGTGGTATGTTGATGAAGAGGACTGAATAGACTACCCAAAGAACAAATAATCTGTCTTAGAGTAAGAATAACCTGGTTGCAAGGATGATGAAATATTGTCTCACACACTGTGGGCATATTATCAGGAGAGGTCAGTCCTTGGCAAAAAAAAAATCATACTGGCAACAGTAAGACACCTGATAACAACAGAACTGTCAGACAAAATGAATGAAAAGTTATTTTTGGCCTAAGCCTCTGAGAATGAGAAGAAGAAATCATATTTCTTTAAGTCTTTGTTTGAAATCTCTAAAAATCTTAGTTTATCATCACTTATACTAAATGAAGGGGGGCAGACTCTACCAGGAAAGAAAATCTCAGCAGATGGGAAAGGAAATGTTAGAAGGATGGATGGAATTGAAGCACACAGGATGGAAGTGGGGAGAGTGCAGCAAATTTGAGACTAGTAATTATGAATAATTGAATGGAAAAATCTTCATGCTCTGTAAACTTTCAGATCACAATAAAGCATTAATTAAAACAAAGTCTTAATGATCAATTTATCCTTCTTTTTTTCCAGTTTACCTCTCTTGCCTTTGCACATCACTACCTTGTACTCCATGGAGTTATGGTACCTGCAGGCACACACTTACCATCCTGCTTTCAGTACCCAGAGGTGCCATTGGAACTCTTAGCTCATCCCATGAGCACTTTGTCAAAGAAACAGTTTGGTGTTTCCTCAAAAAGTTGAGCACAGAAACTCAGTATGACCCAACTATTCCACTACTAGGAATATACCCCAAGGAAATTAGAACTGAGACACAAACAGAGATTTGTACACCAATGTTCATAGCAGCGTTACTCACCATTGCAAGAACATGGAAATAGCCCATATGTCCCGCCAGAAGTGAATGGATTGAGAAATTTTGGTCCATTCACACAATGGAATACTATGCCACACTCAGGAGCAACAGTTTTGAAAAATACTACACAACTCGAGAGATGCTGGAGAGCATTATGCTGAGTGGGCTAACTCAGCCTCATAAGGACAAATACTGCATAAGACCACTATTGTAAAAATAAAAGGATAACTAGTAAAATATGTATAGGAAATCAAAGGAGAGAGGGGAGGGTCAAAACTATAGGATTGAACGGTTTGGTGGGTGGAGAGGGCCAGGGAATCAAATGAGAAGGATCCAGGTGAAAAGACAGGGTGATGATGGACAAGGTCCAATGGTGATTAATTTTATAAAACGTAATGCATGAGAATGATTGTATGAAACACAATGTGAATGAATAATGGTGTGTAATACAGTGTATATGAATTTTTTAAGAAAACCGATTTAAATAATGAGGATATGGGAGACAGGAGAGAGGTGCCATGAAGAAAAAAAAATAAGATATCCAAACAGGTTAAAACGTATTAAATTTCATAAAAAACCCATATTTGTCACATTCAAATAAATTTTTGGCAAAAGAAATAAATGCAGTCATCATAGTTGATTCATACTTTCTTCCTTCCTCATTCTTTAAATGGGAAAAAATGTTTTATTGTGCAAAGGGGCCAGTTTTTTAAATAAGTAGTGTTAATGAAAATTGGATTTGTGAATATACTTAAAAATAATAAGCAACATAATAAAAAACGTTTCATCTTTTTGTAGTAAACTTTCATGTCAGCTATTGTTACAGTGTTGCAGTTTTAAGATTTTAAGGAGTTTTATTAAAGCAAAGTACTGGCAATAGAGAATTTTAAAGAGATGTATTTAGTTAAAATTCCTTTAAGTATTAGTTTAAATGATACACTATAACCAGGCTTCTTATTTCTTTTTAGTCTGTAAGACTTGTATTGTTCAACACTTTGAAGATAGCAATGATTGCCCAAGATGTGGCAACCAAGTTCATGAGACAAATCCATTAGAAATGTTGAGGTAAGTAAATATATTTTGTAGTTCATACAACTTAAAGGCTATAGATTTTTAATTGATTTTCATTTTTATTCTTTGTTAGTCTTATTGTTGTTGTTATGTGCCGTCGAGTCGTTTGCGACTCACAGCGAACCTATGTACAACAGCCCTAAACCCTGCTCTATCCTGTGCCAGTCACACTGCCTCTGACACAGCCATCCCAATTGCCCCAGTCACTGAATCAATCCACCTCATAGAGGGTCTCCCCATTTTGTGCCGTCCCTCCACCCTGCCAAGCATGATGTCCCTCTCCAAGGACCTGTCCCTCCTTAAAATATGTCCAAAGTATGTCAGACGAAGCCCCAGAATCCTTGCCTCCAAGGAGTAGCCTAGTTTAACCCTCCTGAAGGGTGAATCTGTTTTCTTGGCAGTCCGTTGTACATTCAGTACTCTTCTCCAGCACCACAGCTCAAAGGCATTAGTCTTATTACATATTTAAAATTATCCTGGGCTCTTAGTTTTTATGATATAACATATTTCTTGGTACTTTAGCTCAGTGTTGCTGGCATGAATTTCATGTTAAAGCATTTTATCTGAGATAGTGTAATCTATAAACAGATGTTATTAGGTACTCTTGAGTTGGCTTCAACTCATTGTGACCTTAAGTGCAACATAAAGCACTGCTGCGTCCTGCATCACCTCACAGTCGTTGCTGTGTTTGAGCCTGTTTTTGCAGACACTGTGCCAGTCCAGCTCATGGAGAGCCTTCTCTTTCTTTCCCTAACACACCACTCTATCAATCTTGGTAAGACATTAACAATTTTTGCATAAAAAACATGTGAAACACTTCTGTTAATGTTGTTACTAGAGAATTTTAAATTATGAATTTCACTCTTATTTCTGTTGGAAATCACGAATGTGGATAGTAGAAGGAGAGTGGAGGTTTCTATAAAGGAATCATTCATTCGACAAATACTTACTGAATGCATTCCATCTTCAAGCACCATGTCAGTGTGTGTAAGAGTCAGTAATGAAAAAAAAACAAACAAACAAAAAAAAACAACCACAAAACACAACACCACCCAGTGAAATTTCTTTGCTCTTGTAAAGCTAATATTTTTGTACAAAGATATAATAATTATGTAGTAATATGTAGTTGCTGCTCATTGTCATCAAGTTGGAAATGATTCATAGCTGACTCTCCATTGGGTTTTCAAGTCTGTAAATCTCATGGGAGGATGGATCTCTCTCCCGCAATCCACTGGTGCCTTAGAATCACCAGAGTGCATGGCCTTTGGGTTATCAGTTCAATTCTCCATGGGCGAGGCCACCAGAGCTTCCTATATAGTATGTTAGAAAGTGAAAACAGCAAAGGGGAGAAAGTACTGAAGGCTGAGGGACTGGAGTGTGGAGGTAGGGACAGATAGTGATGTTAAGTAAGATGATGAGAGAGGCCACTTTGAGAAGGTGAAGTTTGACAAAGACATCATGGGTATGAAGTCATTAACCATGTGTCCACATGGAGAAGCATGCATATTCTGGGTAAATGGAGCAGCCCGTTCAGCAAAGTGCTCCTCAGACATGTTTAAGGAACAGTGAGGAGACCAGTGCTGAGAAGCGGCAGTAAGGTAGGGAGCAAGTAATGGACAATGAGAACAGGAAGATAAAGGGGGAGATAATCAAGGACCTCATAAGTCACTTTTTCTTTTACTCCAAGTGAAATTGATGGCAATTGCAATGTTTGGATTAAAGACTTGGACGTCATTTTGAGAGGATTGTTCTGGCAACTGTGGTTAGAGTACACTGCATTGAGCAGGACAGGTAGAGGCAGGGAGAACAGCCAGAAGGCAGTTTCAGCATTCCAGGGTAAGAGATGGTAGCAGTAGAAGGGACTAGGAGTCGTCATAGTCTGCATATATTTTTAAAGAGGTGGTTGTTGTGTACTGAAGAGTTGGAACTGATCCATAGCTGACCCTCTGGTGGGTTTTCAGAGGCAGTTAATAGCACAAGAGGACATTGCCAATCCTCCCACACAGCAGCTGGTGGCCTTGAACTGCATGCCTCTGGAATTGCAGCACAGGTTCTTGCCAATTTACTGATTGATTGGATGACAGGTTTAAGACAAAGAAAAAAGGTTGGGATGTGTTGATTATTAGATGTCTATTAGACAATTCTAATACAAGACTAGTTAAAAGGCAATTCTAATAGCGTTTAAAAGGGAGTATGTCAGGGTTGTATTCCCTCTCCATATCTATTCAGTATGTATGCCAAGCAGATTATCCAAGAAGCTGTACTCTGTGAGGAGTGTGCCATCAGGTTTAGAGTGAGACTCATCAATAACACCTGCATTATGTGGATGACACAACCTTGCTTGCTGAAAGTGAGGAGGACTTGTTGCAAAGGATTGAAGAATACAGCCTTCAATGTATGGATTATATGTCAGGGTCAAGAAAACAAAGATTCTTGCCACTGGACTGAGAGGCAACATCATGACAGAGAAAAGACTGCAACTGTCAAGAGCTTCATCTTGCTTGGATCCACAATTAACACCCTTGGTACCAGCAACCAGGAAATAAGAAGACATACTGCATTAGAAAAGCCTACAGTCAGAGACCTCTCCAAATTATTGAGGAGTAATGATGTCAGTTTGAGGACTTAGGTGTGTCTGATTAGGCCATGATCTTTCCAGTCACTTGCTATGCATCTGAGTGCTGGATATAAGGATGATAGAAGAACTGATGCCTTTGACCTTGTGGTGTTAGAGAAGAACTCTGAACTCATGGAATACCAAAATAACAAACAACTATGTTTTGGAGAGGGTGCAGCCAGAGTGCTCTTTGGAGGCTTGGATGAGGAAGCTCCACCTCACATAATTCAGGCATTTTGCTAGGAGGGCTTATTTCTTGGAGAGGGGCATGATTCTTGGAAAGATGGAGACTGGTGAAGGAGAGGAAGATCCTCAAGCAGGTGGATTGACGCAGTGAATGCTGCAGTGTGCTCTAATGTGTAAGGAAGTGTGAGGGTGGCACAGGATAGGACAGAGTTCATATCTGTTATTCACAGGGTCACTATGGGTCATACGCGAGTTGATGGCGCTTAATAACAACATTAGACAGTTCAGGGATGAGAGAAAGTGATCTGTGGGTGAGTGAACAAGTCTTGGCTTCAAGAGGAGAGATCTTGACTGGCGATAATAATTTTGTGATCATTAGCATATATTGTTATTGCTGTTGAGTGGGTTCTAAGGCATGGCCTCCTGATCAACAACAGAACTAAATGTTGCCCAATCCTGCACGACCTTCACAGTCATCAGTGCATTCACATCCACAGTTGCAGCCATTAGTTACTGTCTCACCCGAGAAAAGAAGTTAAACAACGTATTGCAGTTGAGTCAGATCTGACTCATAGCTGACCCTCCGGCAAGTTTTCCAGGACTGTGAATCACGGAGGAGGAGATGGCCTGTCTTTCGCCCACAGAGCCAGCAGTGGACTCAGACTGGCAGACATGGTCAGCCTGTCTCCCTGCAGGCTACACCACTCGACCTCTGTATTTTTAGTGCCTTCCAACCTAAAAGTTCCTTTACCATGACTAGACTGGACAGTGTTCTCTTGTGATCCATAGCCTTTTTACTGGTAATTTTTTGTTTTGTTTGTTTGTTTGTTTCATTCCCCACCTACCCCCCCACTGGTAGTTTCCAGAAGGAGATTGCCTGGTCTGGATGTACCACTGAAATCTTTTCATCATGGAAGAGACCCTGTTAGTATTTGAAATACCAGGGGCATTAACTTCTAACATCACAGACACACACAGCATCGCAGTATGATGTACAGACAGGCGGGTAGCTTTAGCGTTCACACAAATGCACACTCACTGCTGCCCAGCCATTTGCCACTTGCAGTGATCCTTTGTCTGGTTTTTGAGGCTTTCTTTGAAACAAGAGGAGACAGCACTCTTCCTCAGTGCTACTGGTAGATTCAGACCACCAGAGAAGCACAGCCTTTGCGTTTAGCCATGCAACTCACTACACATGGTGCCACCAGAGCCCCAGTATTTAAGGCTGTGAGTCAGGATGAGATCACTATGGAAGTGAGTTCAGAGAGAGAAGATAACCAAAGATAGAGTCCTGGAGTGGCTCAACACTAAGAAGTCAGGGAACAAGAAATAGCAAAGGAAAATGAGAAGATGAAACCATAGAGGTAGGAGAAAAATACAGCAGAATGTGGCATTCTGGAAGCCAAGTGCAAGAGGTATATCAAGTAAGAGAGAAGTGTTCAGCCATGTCGGATGTTGTTCCTGGGTTAGGGAAGCAGACAGCTGAGGTTTGATGGTTGGAATTAGCAACACAGAAGTGAGGGAGCCTGACAAGGGAGAGCACTTTGAGCAGCCCTGTCAGGCAAAACCAAATATGATTGTTTCAAGAGAGAAAAGAAAGTAAAAGAATTAGAAACAGTGAGTCCAGACAAACTCTCTCTAGGAATTTTGCAACAAAAGGAAGCAAAGAAATGGGACAGTGTAGAAAATGGACAGTGTACCTGTCAGGAAAGGTGGACAAGAAGGTTGTTTTGATTTGATAGAGAAGAAATGGTGTGTTTGAAGGAAATAACCCTATGAGGGGAAAAAAGTTAATAAGGTAGGAGAGGACTAGGGAAGGGCTTGCTGGAGCAATGTTCTTGAGGCGAGAGGGAATGGAGTCTGATCGTCCTTAAGAAGAGCGATTGGTTTTGTAGAGGAGCTTCTGTAGTGGTAGTCAGGAAAGCGGAAGTAAACGCGCATGCAGGATGGGGAGGTAGGCAGAGTCAGGGTAGGGATGAGAAGGGGATAACTATGGGACTTGGTGAATAAATGTGTAAATTGAGAGAGAAATCAAAGTGTTTGAACCTATTTGGGAGTGCTTTGGTACCATTTTTTTTAAAGTGAACTGAAAAGGCCATTTAATATTTTGTGGAAAGAAGCTAGATGAGGTAAAATTGACATAGATGAATTAAAGGAGGGAGGTATTTGAGATGTTCTAATGTTAGAAATAAGAACCTTACATCCAGCAGAGAGATGCAATATGGGTCTGCACCCAGGTTATCTGTTTATATGCTAAAGTCATAGACATGGATGAAAGGAAGAAAGTGTGTAAAAAAATATCAAAGGGAAACATTAGAGAATATACTTATTTTGAGATGATTGATTGGTAAAGATTATTCAAGAGTGAAGAAAGTGCATACGGAAAAAGAAAGAAATCAGGATTGGAAAGGAACATTTCAAGGAAGCAATGTTGGATAAAAATTGTTAAACTATTGCAAAGCAATATAGAAGAAAAATAATTAGTAAAACTATTTTTTCTTTTTAATTTTTTAGAAGTACTAAGTTATAAATGACTTTGAGAGTTCAGTAGAGTAATAGAAACAAAATAATGTTAAAGAGGCTTTCAGGACAGCTTGATGTGACCGCGGGTTAAATAAAGGGCTAAGGGGTGTTCTTTTCAGTGTGAGAAAACTGTGTGTGTGTGTGTGTGTGTGTGTAACCAGAGAATGTAATCAAAGGTGTGAAAGAGTAGCCTCTATTACAGCAGAAAAAGAAAAATACTTACATGTTTTCCTAGGAAATAGAATGCATTTGCATTGGTCTAAATTTCTTAGAAAGGAATGGAGATTGTTTTCATTTTAAAAGGGAGCCAGAGTTGTGATAGCAATTTTTCTTTTGCCTTTTTAAGGAGTTTTGAAAGATCTATCAGTTAGTGTTGTGTAACAGACTATAGGTAGTCCCCAATTTAGAACAGGTTTCCATTCCAACAGCCCTATCCCAAGGGGTTCCTGATGAATACCTCTTTATTTGGCCATCATCAACATCATCATTACCTTGTAAATCTGAGATTTATTTCATTTTGGGGTCTGGAAATAATATAACTAAATACCTGTGCATGAACACCTGAGAATGATAACAATAGCAAATTATACAATGCAAAATTATATGTAGTATACAGAAGGAGAGTGGATGCTTTTGAGCTGTGGTGCTGGAGAAGGGTACTGAATGTACCATGGACTGCCAGGAAAACAAACAGATTCATCTTGGAGAGGATTAAACCAAGCTACTCCTTGGAGGCAAGGATTCTGGGGCTTCGTCTGACATACTTTAGACATGTTGCCAGGAGGGACGGGTCCTTGGAGAGGGACATCATGCTTGGGAGGGTGGAGGGACGGCGCAGGAGGGGAAGACCCTCTATGAGATGGATTAATTCAGTGACTGGGGTAATCGGGATGGGTGTGTCAGAGGCAGTGCGGTTGGCGCAGGTTAGAGCAGGTTTTAGGGCTGTTGTGCATAGGGTCGCTTTGAGTCGCAAACGACTCGACGGCACATAACAACAACAACAACATATATTACTACTGAGAATGTCAAAACAAAACTGATATGTGACGTATAACGCAAATGTGTTTTGAGTCAGGAACCACCTGTACTCCTAAATAAAATGCTTAAAGCAATACTGTTATATGCTGTTGAGTTGGAACCAACGTGCATGGGATGAGATTGCTCATCTTTCGCTTCCCCACCCCCACCCCAGGAACAGCTAGCTGGTGGATTTGATTTGCATGCCTTTGAGTTGGCAGTGCATTTCCTTACCATTAAGTCACTAGAGCTCCCTTAAAGTAATTACAATGTATTATTCCTCACAAGTCTGTTGGTCAGCTAAATGGTTCTTCTGGTCTTAGCTGGGCTCATTCATGTGACTAATTAGCCACTGCACACAGGTAGGGTGCTCAGATGGTCTAGTAGAGTTAGGGTTATGGGGTAGGGGAGAAGGGAGACAAGGAGGGAGGGCAAGTACATACATGCACAGAATGTGTGGTGCTTCTTGCAAGCACACTGGCATTCCTTACATACTCTTTTGGCCCAAACCAGTCTCAAGGCTAATTTTTGGAACTTTACATATTAATTGATGGATTTCAAAGTCATATTGCGAATGGTGTGATTCTAGGGAGAAGAAGAATCTGGGACCTCAGTCGAGAATTTGGATATATAGGGAGAGGCAGGGATTGGGCAATCACCGACCCCTTGTGTGTGGTAGGCTAGAAACAGGTGTGCTCCACAAGTGGAGGAGATTGATCTGGTAAACATGGCAAAATTGTGTCTATCTTGTATTTTGCAATGGACCGCCAAAAAAACCACTAAGTCTGTCTTGGAGAGAGTGAAATCAAGTTTCTCCTTGGAAGCTAGGATTTGAAGCTCTGTCTCACACCCTTTGGGCACATGGTCAGGAGGGACCAGGCCTTGAAGAAGGACATCATGCTCAGAAGGTTGGAGGAAGACTCCAGATGAGATGGATTGATACAGTAACTGGGCAGTAGGGGTTGGTGTGTCAGAGTCAGTGAGACTGGCTCAGGACAGGGCAGGCTTCGGAGCTGCTGTACATAGGGCCGCAGGCAACTCAATAGCACGGACCAACAACAACATGAGATATCAATTTCAGTCTATGTACATATTGAATCTTGATGCCTTCATTGCTGGTATATCCCTTTTTTCTTCTTTGAAAGGTTGGATAATACATTAGAAGAAATTATATTTAAGCTGGTTCCTGGACTACGAGAACGTAAGTTGTTGTTTAGCTTTTTTTATTTTTTATGAAATGAGCATTTCTTTTAAGGATTTCATGATTGCTTTCTGATTTCTTTTTTCTTTTAAATTAGAAGAACTTGAGCGTGAATCCGAATTTTGGAAGAAAAATAAGCCTCAAGAAAATGGACAAGGTGACTTTTTCTTCATCTTTTTCTCACAGCAAAAATTCATCTACTCATGTCTCTCAGCTTTTTGTAACTTTAGTGAACTAACATCTCTCCCAAAGCTTAAAGTTCTCCTGCAGTAAATTCCTCTATTCCTTTATTTACATGATGAACTCCCCCCCACACACACACTTCCTGTAGTTGTATACAGTGGAGTTGTAACTGACTCATAGTGGACACATCATCAAGTTTTCAGAGTCAATAAATTGCATGAGAGGAGACTGTCCATCTTTCTCCCACAGAGCAGCTGGTGGATTTGAACTACATGTCTTTGGGTTTGCAGCACAAGGTTTGGTAGCACAGTAGTTAAATCCTCAGTTGCTAACTAGAAGGTTAGTGGTTTGAACCCACTCAGCAGATCTGGGAGAAAGACCTGTGAGTCTAGTAGTCTCATAAAGATCAGCTTATCAAAAACTCTACGGGACAGTCCTCTGTCACATGGAGTCTGTCTAAGTCAAAACCACCTTGACACAAACTAAAAACATGTAGACCTGGAATCACTCCAGCTGAAGGTACTTGGAAATAGGGACCATTGGACTTTGGACAGGAAAAAAGGAGCTAAAACAGAAAACCAACCAAGTGGCTTTAACAGTGTTTCTTGGAGAACTTAAAGCAGCACATGTAAAACAAAAGAAAAGAAGCCCTTTTATTTTTTTGCTTGTAGCTAAACACAGAAGAGTATCTGTTTATTTGATGTCTTTGTCTTATATATTTGCTTTAACAGGAGAGGGAACCGAGAAGTGGCTGACAGCTAGATCAGGGAATTTTGCTGTGCTCTGATACTATGAAATGGCTTATTCACAGATTGCACACCAAGCTTAGATTTTCTGGAAACTTAAAAAAAAATATGCTTAGAATTTCTTCACCATCTTTTCTAAGTACCCAAATTAATTCTTCTCTTGCATTCCAGGAAAGTCAAGAATGTTTAATAATTTAGGCAGTGGCATGGCAGACATTATAATCATGAAAGAGAGTTAGTATGCTTATTATCTACAAAAAGGGAAAAATAGAATATATCTAAAATTATAAGGCAGTAGTAGCCTCCTTCTTATTGTTATTTTATTATGATATTTAAGCCAAGATGGCATTTAGTGCCACTGAAATTTTTCAATAGTTGTCATTTATGTATCATTAAAGTTGATGAGAAAATGCTGTCTTTATTTTCTCATCTCCTAAAGGAGTATTCTAGTTTTCAATTCAAGGCTGAGTCCTATAGCAGATTTGAGAACAGTTTTGAATGATTGCAGTCGGATAGCCTTTTTGTAACAAGGTGGCCAAGAGGCTAAATCTGACTAAAAAAATTAAACAAAAAATGGTCTTGCCCAGGTGCGTATTGCAGTTATGGTGTGTGTACCATTGATATTACTGATTCGGAACTAACTCATAGCTGACCTGCTAGTGGGCTTTCAGAGGCGGTACATTGCTTGAGAGATCGCTTGTCTTAGTCTCAAAGAGCAGCTGGTGGATTTGAACCTCATGCTTTTGTCTTGGCAGTACTACTCCATACCATCAGAGCTCCTAGCCTGTGAACCCAGGTGTTCTATAAATTGCCTTGTAAGGTCTAAAAACAGCTTTGTGAATATTATCTAAGCTATTTTGGCAGTGTAGTATTTTATATTTGATCTGTAGTTCAGTGGAAAGTTTGGATCTTTACCTGCAGCTCCTATGTGTGTTCCATGTGATTATGTAAAAAGAAAGAGAACCTACCTATGATACAACTTTTGCTATAATTGTCAAAAAAGGAAGTTGACAACACACCCCCCCACCCCCACCTTGGCCTTTCTACTTATTCATTAGCATGGCTAGATGATTTCTCCAAGTTTCAACCTGGAAATACTTCATCTTGGAAATTTTCTCTGAATCTATGCTTGACCCTGAAGTTAGAAGTTATTTCCCTTTCTTAAATTTGCCTACAAGGTTAATTTTACCTTTGTCATCAAAGTCCTTATCACACTGTTGAGTTTATCTGGTTTGATCCTTGCCTATATCTATTCCTGTACTTTGACCACTGCAAGGGTTTGAGCAGGTGAGTAATAGCACTGTCGTTAGGACAGACCCTCAGAGTCTACCACAATGCATGCCTAGTATATAGTCTAAGGCATTCGGAAAATAAATGCAGTGCATTGTATATAGGCTTCAGATATTTAACAGATTAAATGCATGTAAAATTTGTCCTTCGAGTTTCTTTAATTGGAATTTCTTAACATGTTACATAACTGTCACTGTCATTGAGTTTGTTCCCCTCTCTTACATTTCTGAACTTAATGAACTCAGTGACCCTCCACTGGGTTTCTGAAGCTGTGAATCAATCATAACTGGAGGAGACTGTGCATCTTTCTCCTGCAAAACCACTGGTGAATACAAATCTGGACCAGAGACTTTGGTTTAGCAGTGAAATTCACTCCAGAATATGGTACCAGAGCTCCCACTGTGTTATTTATACACACACACACACACACACACACACACACACACACACATACACACACACACACAGAAAGAGAGAGAGCTAATTCATTCTATTCATTTTACCAGCTGATTTTTTAATATCTAATAGCTTTTAGAATTTAAAATATTTTAGTTTGAAAGAGAGATCAAATAGTTGTTAATTTGAAGGGGTTGAGAATTAGAATATAGAGTTGGACAGTGACTAGGGAGGTTAAGAGGAGAATTGATGCCTTTGAGCTGTGGTGCTGGAGAAGAGTATTGCATGTACCATGGATTGCTAAGTACACAAACAGGTTCATCCTAGAGAGGGTTAAACTGGGCTGCTCCTTGGAGGCAAGGATTCTGGGACTTCATCTGACATACTTTGGACATGTTGTAAGGAGGGACTGGTCTTTGGAGAGGGACAGCGTGGTTGGGAGGGTAGAGGGACGGCACAAGAGGGGAAGACCCTCTATGAGGTGGATTGATTCAGTGACTGGGGTAATCGGGGTGAGTGTGTCAGAAATGATGTGATTGGCACAGGACAGAGCAGGGTTTAGGGATGTTGTACATAGGGTCACTATGAATCACAAGTGACTCAACGGCACATAACAACTACCACAATATTTTAAAAAATGCTCTAATTATTCATTATGTCACAGTATCGTTTTTGTCACCAATTATAGCTACCTTGACCTTTTTAATAAATGGTCCAGTGAAACTAGAAATTATAGTTGTTTTATATGGAGGCAATGCTAATAATTGGTTGATGTTTTTTATAGAATAATTCTAATTATTTATAGAATTGATTGTTACCCTAGAACTTGCATTTAAAGCCCTAGAGCTTCTGATTCTGAAAAAAGAGAGAAAACTGAAGAAAAAAAAAACAAAACAACAAAACAACCCACACCCACAACTTACTGCTGTCAAGTCAGAACTAACACATAATTGACTCACTAGTGAGTTTTTCAGAAGCTGCAAATCACACAGCAAGAGATTGCCTATCTTTCTCTTATGGAGCAGCTGGTGGATTTGAACTACCTGCATTTGGGTTGTCAGTTCAACTCTTTATCCACTAGGCCACCAGAGAGACTCTGTATTAGGAGGCTAGCCAAAGGGGAATACCAGCAGCAGTGTAGGCTGCCATTACAGAATTCCTGACTGTACCCACCCACCAAACATTGAATATATGAAGAGAAACAAAGGGTGAGAGAGGACAATAACTTGTAGACAATCCATAATGAAAACATTTTGAAATGTCTTATGCAGTGCTAGTTATCATCTCGTCAGTGTGGAAACTTCAGGGTTCTGTCTCATCCTGTCAGTGCAGACATCCATTTGTCTTAATAATGGTCATTAAATGTTCTCTTGCCTGCTTTCAAACCTGTTCTGCAAGTGTCAGGCGTTCTTATCATAGATAAGTTTTCAATAAATCATTAACATGGGGTAATTACTGGGAAGTATAGCATAGCTACTGTACATAGACAAAATGGCTTTAGTATTGCTAACTACTGGCTACTACTTTTATTATATTTTAAAAGTACTGAAAGTTTTATTCTTAAAAAATGGTTTTTATTGTTGTTGTTGTTGTTGTTGTGTGCCGTTGAGTAGCTTGCAACTCATAGCGGCCCTATGTACAACAGCCCTATAAACCCTGCTCTATACTGTGCCAATCGCACTGTCTCTGATACACCCATCTCGATTACACCAGTCACTGAATCAATCCACCTCATAGAGGGCCTTCCCCTCCTGCGCTGTCCCTCCACCCTCCCAAGCATGATGTCCCTCTCCAAGGACCGGTCCCTCCTTACAACATGTCCAAAGTATGTCAGACGAAGCCCCAGAATCCTTGAATCTGTTTGTTTTCTTGGCAGTCCATGGTATATTCAATACTCTTCTCCAACACCAAAGCTCAAAGGCATCAGTTCTCCAACTATCCTCCCTAGTCATTGTCCAACTCTCTGCATAACAAGTGATTGCAAAGACCATAGCCTGTATCGGACGCACCTTAGTCTCCAGAGTGACATCATTGCTCTTTAGTGCCCTGGAGAGGTCCCTAACAGCAGACTTTCCCATCAAGATACGTTTTTTTATTTCCTGGCTGCTAGTCCCAAGAGTGTTGACCGTGGAGCCAAGCAAACTAAAGTTGTTAACAATCTCAATCTCTTCACCATCCATCTTGATGCTGCCATTTGGTCCAGTGGTGAGAGTCTTTGTCTTCTTGGCATTGAGCCTCAGTCCATACTGAAGGCTGCAGTCCTTTGACTCTCTGCAGCAAGTGCATCAGGTCCTCCTCAATTTCAGCAAGCAGGGTTGTGTCATCTGCATAACGCGTATTGTTAATAGATCTTCCAACAGTCCTGATGCCATACTTCTCATCAAGCCCAGCCTCCTGGATAATCTGTTCTGCATACAGATTGAAAAGGTATGGAGACAGGACACATCCCTGGCATACGCCCTTCCCTATTTTGAACCATGCAGCGTTTCCCTGCTCTGTTGAGTTTTGTTTGATATTTGATGTTTTGTGGCTTAACTTAAAAATTTATTATATCTAACTTAGTTTTGTTTAAATTGCATAGATGATACTTCAAAGGTTGAAAAACCGAAAGAAGATGAAGAAGGTGATGAAAATCAAGATGATAAAGACTATCACCGAAGTGACCCACAGATTGCTATATGTCTAGATTGTTTACGTAATAATGGACAGTCGGGGGACAATGTAGTGAAGGTGAGTGGTCACGTACAGTTGTGTATTTTATGATAGTTTTATATTGAATCCTAACTAATTTGTTGATGAAATTTCCTGGTGGTTGTGTCTCTTCAAAGTGTTTTCATAATCGAATATAATTGAGTTATGGTGCCATTTCTGACACTCCAGAGCTATCAGCATTCAACTTTATACCTGCTAAGTACCACTTGTTTTTGTGCACCATCGAGTTGGGACCTACTCATAGCTGACCCTCCAGCAGATTTTCAGAGGCAGTAAATCACAGGGGAGTTGACTACCCATCTTTCTCCCACGGAGCAGCTGGTGGGTCCAAACTGTCCTGGACCCTGCCGTGTCCTGTCCCATTTTCATCTTCTCTGACATGAGAGCCCATTGCTGAAGTCTATGATCCATCTTGTTGGGGGTTTTCCTCAGCTTTACTCACCATCTATCTTTCCAAGCATGATGTCCTTTTCCAAGGAATAGTCTCAACTAACTACATGTCCAAAGTAATGAAAGACAAAGCTTTGTCATCCTAACCTCAAAGGAGCATTCTGGCCCTACCTGTTTTTTAATAACTGATACAAGGAAATGATCCTGAGCCAATGTCACCACCTAGTGGCTGATACTTAGACTTACACCACTAATTCCCCTTCCAACTCCTTTTTATGCCTTTCTGGGAGTTGGTAGGCATTCTTTCTCCATTTCTTCTCATATTCTTCAGTGTCTTTTTTAATTTTTGTGGACCATATAATCTCTATTGAAACTATATTCAATTCTCTTAAATGCTCTGTTGTCCATTCATTAGGAAGGAGAGAAAAACCAACACACATAAGGTTTTATATTTTTACATTCAATCAGTAGCTGTAAAGCTCATGAGAATCTGTTTGGATTTGATTCTCCCAACCCAAGGTCAGTACAGTGCCTCTTCTCATGTCTGGAAGGGAGCTCTGGCAGTGCTGTCCACAGGGACTTGTGCTGCAACCCAAAGGCTGCACCTCTGCTGTTTGAATCCACCAGCAGCTGCCTGTCTCATCCCGTAGTACTTTCAGCCTTAGAAACCCAGCCGAGGGTCAGCTGTGCATCGGAACTAACTCATGGGCAGTATGAGTTGCTGCTGGCTTCTTTTGGTTTTTGTTGTTGTTTGTGGTATGTTTTATTGTTTGTTGTTTTTATTTTAGTTTCTGGAGCATATGTGGTACAGTTCGCCTGTCTTTATTGTATTGTAGGACTCTCGTCCCTTTTGAAATTACTGTGCATTTAAAAACATTATTTAGGAACTATGAGATAATGATTTATAAAATCATAAAAAAAGATAAAATCATTATCTAATGATGATATTTTATAAATTATTTTCTAAATCATCATATCATAGAGATCTTTCCTTCATGATGCTTTCAGAACTGATATTATAGTCATCATGGTTTCAGAAGTGACATAGTAAAAAGATATTTTATGTGCTTTTTATGACATTTATTTTGTCTTGAACTTACAATGTATTTTCTACCAAAAAAGTTTAGAAGGTATACTTTTTTGTATGTTTGCCAAAACTCTCTCAATACACATGACAATACATTCTTGAAGAATTTCATGCAGATTACTAAGAATTCGAAACATATTTACCCACAACCACTGAGGAGCTGCAAATGGAAATCTTTTGAGAATGTATTTTCAAATTACCTAAAGTGACGACATAAAGTATATCTATCGTTTCATAAAAGTAAACAAAGTAGTATTTTAATTATTATCTTGTTACTATTGTTGTTGTTGTAGTTGTTGTTGTTGTTATTATGTGTGTACCGTCAAATCGGATCTGACTGGTACAGGAAGAGATTGTTCCTCCTTCTCCAGCAGAGCATCTGGTGGATTTGAACTGCTCACCTCTGGGATTGCAGTGCAGCTTCTTGCCACTAGGCCACCAGAGCTTGCTAATTATTATCTTTATTTAACTTTAGGGCTTAATGAAGAAATTCATCCGATGTTCTACACGTGTTACTGTGGGAACCATTAAAAAATTTCTAAGTTTAAAACTAAAACTTCCAAGTTCTTATGAGGTAAGTTAAATAATATCTGACCTTAATAATTATGATCGTAAGTAAAATTCTATTGACAAAAAAATACTAATTAAAAATACATTTAAGTTAATTTTGTAGAAATATACAAATTAAAAATCTAATATTTCAGAATATTCTGTTGACTTTCTGTGTAATTCTAATGTAGTATTTCCTGATGAAAACATATTAATAATGCTTATATGGTCTACAATTGGAGGAAATATTAAAGGACTTAACCTTAAGTATTCCCAAAATAAATAGGCTAGCTAAACGGGTTGGAATTTTAGAATACCAGCATATTTTAGAATGTAGTCATTTTTTCAAATCTGAGACTTGAGTTCCATTATTACCAGTGTTTATATTTTTAAAAATTACAGTGTAAAATAATCCCTTTCATCAAAACTAACTAACTAACCATCATTGAATTGTAATAGGCTCATACCTGGCCCTCCAGCGGCTTTTTCAGAGGCCGTAAATCACACAGGAAGCGATTGCCCATCTTTCTCAAGCAGCTGGTTGAGAAACCACCTGCATTTTGTTTGACAGTACAATTCTATACCCACTAGGTCACCAGAGCTCTTGATTGTCAAATAGAACTTCATAAATCCTATAGTTCCATAATATGCAAAAGTAGTAGTATTTCACATTTGCTAAAATTGATATTTGGCATCTGTATAAATTCATTTTACCGGTCAATTTACAGCAGATATTAATTTCCTTGATGCTAATGACAGCACAGCTTATAACATGTTAAAGGTCTAGAGAATATTTATGATCCTAAGAGCATGCCGATAATATGGTCCAGGAATATAGCTACTGTTTCCCAAATGGTGCCCAAATAACAATCTTGCGACCTCTTAGCATTCTTCTTTGGGTTTTAATAATAGCGTTTAGAAAACTTTAAAAGGCCAGTTTATAAAGTTTTCTATATAAGCTATCAATGGCAGCATTTCTTTTCTGATTATCTGTAGTTATTATTGCCATGAGGAGAAATAACTGAAGAGAAATAAAATGTGATAAGATTTGACCACAAATATTAATAAACATTAGATTTCCTGATATCTCAGGAAACATCTAATTCTAAACTTACTTTAAATTTTTCTCAGATTAGTTAATTAGTATGTGTGTTAAAAGTTTGTTGTTTTATTTCATTTTGGACCTCCAGATATAAAACAAATATTTTTAGAAATACAAACTTTTTTATCTGTCTTATTGTGGTAAGAATATATGTTTTAAGCCCCCCATGTTTGCCAATAGTTTCAGTATGTATAGCTCATTAAAGTTGACTGTGTTCATCAGTTAGTGCAACCATTGTCGTTGCAGCCATAATTACCACTATCTTTTTCCAAATTATTCCACCACTATTAATAAAAACTCCCTTTCCACCCTCCCTCCCACTCCTGGTAACCACTAGTAAGTTTAATGTCTGTACCGTACCTCTGCCTCTTTCATATATGTAAGATCATACCATATTTATCTTGTTGTGATTGTGACTTAATTTCACTCAGCATAATGTCTCCTGGGTTTGTCTATAATATTGTAACATCAGAACATCATTTCTCTTTCTGACTGAGTAGTATTCCACTGTTTGTGTGTAGCCCATTTGCATATCCTGAGTTCTTTAGATGAACATTTAGATTGTTTCCGCCTTTTAGCTTCTGTGAATAGTGCTGCAGTCAGTGACACTGGTGTTCACGTGGAGTTTTGTAATAGGGGGAAATGTGAAAACCAAATCAAAGCAGTATGTACTTAGTAAAAATAAAGATCATAACATTTTGTAGATTTAACTGCAGTGGAAAGTAGAAAATGAAATTGACTTGGGCTCTTAGGCTCTTTCTGAAATATACCATGTGCACTTTTATTTGTTATTGTTGAATCCAACTTTATAGGAAGTTGGTAGAGTTTAAAAATCTATTCTTCTGTTAAGCTTTCTTGTACATATAGTCTTCCTGTACAAAAGCATGGAAAGAGAAGAGATTGCTGCTTGCTGCTATGCTTATGTTATGCTTTATACAACCAGAAAGAAAAAGATTCAGTCCCCTGGCAGTTCCTGATCTATCCCAATGCTGAACTTGTTCTGTAATTTTCAGGAATATATGTCGGCCCTCTTGATATGCCTAAAATGTAGGAAACAATTTCATTAAATATCTAATAACTAACTTAGTGTAACAGTGCTGCTTTTTGTCATGATAAGCGCAGTGTACCTGGTTAGTAGTGGCATCCTAAGTTAAGTCCCTTGACTTCTTTGCTTATGAATTTTTTTGTAGTCACAGTAAGAAAATGACATTATCTTCTTTTATCCTTTGAAAGTTAGTAAAGTGATAACTGAAAAATATTTTGATGTCCGTGAGAGTCACCATAAAGCATCAAAAAAATTAATTTCTTTCCAGTACAATTAGAACAATGCTTATTTTAGACTTAAAGTTCAGAATTCTTGTCTCTGTCTAGCTAGGCACAGAATTATTGGTTTTAATATTTCATTCACTATTACTGTCAAGTTTGAATGCATAACTTCAGTAATAAATCACCTGGAAAAACAAGGGATTGACTCTCTTTCTCCTGTGGAATCACTGGTGGGTCTAAAGCACTGGAGAGAAGAGCCTGTTAAGTGTTTGCAGGTTACCAATCAGGCAAACTTAGAGAGGCCAGGGGAGACACTGACCTGTAGGAAAGATCTAACTGGACTGCAAGTTTACTCTGGTGATGCAATGGCTAAGTGCTCACCCGCTAACTGAAAGATTAGCCCTGTGAAACCACCAGCTGCTCCCTGGTTCTGAAGGATGAATTCATAAGCGAAGGTGCTTCTGTGAGTTTTCCCATTCAGGAAGGAACAGTCAGAAAAAAATGTCTGAAACCTCTAATGTTTCCTAAAGATATTAACTCAGGAGATTGTTTACATTGCATTTCAAACTTATAACTGATTGTTAGAACTTCTTTTCATAAAAATGGTTAAGCATTATTTCTTTTTAAATGATGGTTGGCAGTTCTATTTTGTTAAAATGGAATCTTTTTTGAAATTTTAAAAAATGATAATGTAAAATGCATATAAATTTAAAATGACTAATACTAATGGATTTACACCTGTTCTTTTTAAAGTTGGATGTGCTGTGCAATGGTGAAATTATGGGGAAGGATCATACTATGGAATTCATCTATATGACGAGATGGCGACTGAGAGGCGAAAACGTAAATTGTTTTTCTATTTCCTCATGTATATGTTCACTTGAATACCATTATGTTACTCAAATTTAACATTATAACTTGGCAACTGAAAAGCAAGCTAACTTAGGACAGAAACTGGTTCCTTTTTGTGGTTTCTCCCAGCCACTCTGAAAATCAGTCCTGAGGACAAAGCAAAGGTCTGTGTAAAATGTGATTTTGTTGTATTTGAGGTGAGTCTGATGATGCAACATGTTCATGTCTGCTAACTCCAAGACAGAGAAGATACAACTGCACATATTTTAAATCTTATGAAGGCTGAATTCTGCTCTGACTACAAGTTTAATGATTGATAAGAGTATTATATCTTAGATGTTTTTGAAAGGCAAATAGGGTAGAATTCTGGTTAATTTTTTTTTTCAGGTCCTCCATTTATATAAATGAGACCTAAGGGTAAAGTGAGTCTCCAGTGGTTTCTGATGTCAGCATAATCAGATTATACACTAACTATTATACATTATAATACCATATTATAATCTGTTAGTAATTATGTGTTAGCCCCTGTGCTGTATGCAAGGAATAGAAAAAAACCCAAAAGAGACTATAAGAAGAAAATCCATATTTTTAATGATAAGTTTAATTGGAGTTAGATAAAAGGTCTGAGAATATCTTAATTGATTAATAAATAACATTAATATTAGGGAAATTTGAGAAACTAGAAGTTGTGAGTCTGATAGATAAGAATAAGGAATACAGTAGAAATGCTACCAGAATTTCTCTTCATTACCTGAGTGTATGGGTAAACCTGTTAATCAGGACTAACTAGAAGGTTAGACCAGATGATTACCAGGATTACCAGTGTCTTATCAGACATTAGGATTCTAATTCACCATAGAGTTCTATGGTGTGTATGGGACAACATATAAAAATTTTTTAAGTTCTGTGTCATTCTTTATTTCTCTTTCTGTAAGTTAGGTTTTATTCTGTTTATTTGATTTCCTCATGAAAACATCAATTAACTATAAAAAAACTAGAAGATAAATATAAACTCACAAGGATAAGTCGTAGAGATTACGAAGTATAATTAGGGTCTGATCTATGTTAAAATAGATCAAAAACATACTTAAACAATTAATGTAACATCTATGGAACTGTTCTGAAATTATCCTCAAGAAATCAGCTTTTGTGCTTCTGCATAGGTAGGGCATTGGCTGTTTTCAGAAGAAACATTTTGAAGTACTACAATAATAAATGAAGTGCCTAACCTCTTAAGTTGGAATTTTCTTTTACTGTTGGAGGGCTACTTGAGTAAAGCCTTCCTGGTGAGGCTTAATGCTGCAGCTGCTTCTGGAAAGAGCTCAATACCAGGAAGAAGAAAAATCACATTTTAGATCCAGTCACTACCTAGTTATGGACCCTTCAACAACTCATGAAACCTCTCTGGGGTCATCTTTAAGATTTCTTTTTATTTGGCAGATTAATTTATGTTTCTGTGAAATTTTAAATGGCTGTACATACATCACTCTTTTATCCTTAAAACTAAAATGTTTTAGATACTTTGTACTAATTATAGAAAAATTAAGAACTCTCTTAATCAGTGCTATTTAAGAGTGGACATTGTGCTATTACATATAATATTAATACTATATTGAACATTAATTTTTCTTTCTTGATAGTTTAATAGTTTTAATACTGGAAACCATAATTTAAGTAGATTTGCTTTCATATTAAATAGCTATACATCATCATTCACTATAAAATTCCTCTTCTAATGCTCACTTACCTTCCTCATCCTTAAAGGCAATTCACACTGCCAGTTATTTTAATATCAAAGTAGAAGAAAAATTTTTATTAATAGAACTCCAGTTTTGTCAGTTTTTGCCACAGTTGTATTTCTGATTACACATTTTCTGGGTAGTCTAAATTCTTTAGTTGTTTAAGGAATATTTTTTAAGTTCGTTCAAAAAATGGTTCACATATCACAAAATAATGTCACATATCTCCACCTGGATGACTAATAGCCATCTCTGATTTTATATGTTAAAAAAAAAGATCTTGATTTTTTAAAAAATGGTTCAGTACCTTGTGGTTAAACCCTACAGGTGGACATGAAAAGCAGTAAAGCAGCACTAGAAACCCACTTCCTTTTACATTTAGCATGACCATAACATAGTAGAACCATTTCATTTTTCAAAATCATATCTTTGGTTGTGTTCCTCCTCCCAACCTGTTCCTCCCTCAACCTCTCAGTAGTTCTTAGGCTGGTTATTTCCTTTTTCAGTTACTCAGACAAAAGCCCCCAGTCAACCCTGATTATTTTTTACCATTTATCCATTCTGTAACATTTTCCATGAAAACACTACATTTGGAATCCAGGTGTGTGTCATCACCTCCACTTCTTTTACCTCTGCTTTGTGCCACCTTACTCTGGGCTTACCAACTGGGCTCCTTGGATTCACGCTTCTTCCCATTATATCTGCCCAGCACAGCAGTGAGAGCCCCAAACCCAGACCAACACACTATCATTAAGTCAATTCCTATTTATTGCAACCTTGAGGACAGCGTAGAGCCTGCCCTACAGGGTTTCCAAGACACTAGATGTTTCTAGATGTAGATTCCAGCACACTGCCTCATCTTTCTCAATGGGTTCAATTGGTAGGTTTGAACCACAGACCTTTTATTTAGCATCCCAGTACTTAAAGCTCTGTGCCACCAGGATTCCTCCAGTTACAACCATCCTCTTAAAAATATGAGTGTGTGTCACTCTTCTCAAAATACTGCAGTAACTTCTCTCATTTAGAGAATAGTCAAAAGGTTCTTCCGGAAACTTCTTGCTAGGACTCCTGCACAACAATCCTAGCCTCCTCTCTGATCTTCTCATTTAGTCTGGCTTGCTTTTCTCTCCAGACACACTGGCTTCTTTGTGTTTCCTCAGATGTGCAGCTCCTGCTCAGACCTCCCCAGATAGGCGCTTCTCTCCTGAACTTGTTTGCTTTACCCTCTTTTCTCAAATAGTTTTGTCCTGTGTCACTTTCTCAGTGTCCTTGACTTCTCTGAAAATTAGAATTGCATTTCCTAATATGGCACGCTCAGTCCTTTCATGCCTTAGTGCTCACCACAGTACTTCATGCCATCTGATGCACGGTGCCTCTGACCTTTTTTATATGTGTGTCGTTTGTTTACTGTGGTGTAATCTGAGGGCAGGGAGTTTTGTTATTAGTTCACTGCTGGATCTCTGGTATATAGAGAAGTTTCTGACACAGATAATAAATACCTGTCTGAAGAGTGAGATGAATGAAAATCTTGTCTTTTATAAAGTAATAAATACTTAAACAAAACATAAAGATTTTTCTATTTGAACTCTTTTCCCTTTGTTTTCTAGAAATAAATTTTTATGTTTGCTCAGGTTCTAATCAACCTATACTGTTAATAAATAAAATGAACTTAGTTGAACTTGATGTGGAAAATGAACTGGTAACAGTAAGATAATTATTTGTTGATTGGGCCCCTGAAAGCACGTTAGTTGTGGTCACATCCCTTCCCATCCCTGAGCTCCACGGCCAGGAGGAGGCCAGGACGTCAGGAAAGCTATCATCGCTTCATCTGGTGCTGCTCAGCGCGTCTGCCCTGAGCTGATAACAGCTTGTTTCTTAAAGTCATGACCACCCTGAGGTTCCTTCTAGTATTTTTATAGTAAACATTTTAATTTTATACACATACATCCAAATGAGATTAAGACTCTTAATCTAGTTTTTATCCAGAAGTTTGAATTATTTGTTGTTGAATCATTTGTACTTCACCTGTTTTGAGTTGCCTCCTTTTGTCTACGTGTGTGTGTGTGTGTGTGTGTGTGTACGTGTACATATACTTATCTGTAGTGGGTGTTTTATTTTGCACTTTTGAGCTATCTTATTTCTCTGTGAGAATAATACCATTTTTACAAAAATCTGATTACATAATGTTGTTATTGTGTACCATAAATTAGGAGATGACTCATAGCTGACCCTCTGGTGGGTTTTCAGAGGCAGTTAATCACCCAGAAGGAGATCGCTGATCCTCCTGCGGAACAGCTAGTACCTCGATCTGCGTGCCTTCAGGATTGTAGCACAGCCTCTTGGCACTAGGCCTCCAGATCTCGCTGATACCCTGTCTAAAACACTTTGTTGTTGCCTTTACATACTGTCAATTCAGAACTGACTCATAGCCGACCCTCCAGCAGGTTTTCAGAGGCAATAAATCACATAGGAGAAGATTGCCCATCTTTTTCCCACAGAGCAGCTGGTGGATTTGAACCATATGCCTTTGGATTGGCAGCACGACTCCTTACCATTAAGCCATCAGAGCTCCCTCTAAATAATTTATGATCTCTTTTTTAATAAAGTCCAAACTATAAAGTCTGAAATATAATTATTATAGAAGGCAACTAGTTAATAATTTTTTTAAGTACTTCTGAAACTTTAATGTGAATATGGAGCAACTTGGATAGATCATTATTCAGATCAAATGCCTCTACTCTAAGCTTTATACCATACCACCTGGAATCTCCAAGAACCTTTTACCTTCATTATGGCAGCAAGGTTTACAGCTTACAAGTACACCCTGCTCTGTGCCTTACAATGAATAGAGAATGAAGACCCAGATTTGAGAGGTTGTTGGTAATTATTAAAGAGCTCCTTGTAAAATTAGCTCTGTCCTTTGAACTGCTAGCTGAAAGATTGCAGGTTCAAACCTACCAGCCACTTCACAGTAGAAAAAAATATGATGATCTACTTCTGTGAAGATTTATAGCCTTGAAAACCCAATGGGATAGTTCTGTGTCATATAAGGATCCCTGGAAGTCTGAATTAACTGCAGAACAGTGGGAAATGGGTTGGTTTGGTTGTTATGCAAGGGGATTTTCCAATAAGATGAAATAGCTATAATGTTGGATTTCTTTAAGAAAAGTAATAGTTAGACGTGCCATATTGAATACAAACCATAGTATTACACACACACAAATGTGGTAAAAACAAATTTAGAGATATACT